TTGCCACAAACACAGAATGAATCACTTTGCCCCTTTCCCCCCTTTCCCAGTCACCCTGTAAGCCAACCATACAAGATACCTGGTCAGCTTTGTGTGATCTCTTATCTACACTTCTGTAGGTGCTAATTTAATTTGACAGCTGAACTGTTCATTCTTCATCTCCCAAGTGTAGTCCTATTCACAATTACAAAATCTGAGTGTTAAAACATGAGGACAACCAACACAGTGGCTGGGGTCGGAGGTGAAGGGAGAGCAGGATTAAAACTAAGCAACCTATACTTCCACCTGGTTAAAGCCATTGCATAATGATGACCCTGCTACTGTTTCTACCAAAGAAAAAATTGCAGCACTTTTCAGAGCACAGGAGTGTCTAGAAACACACAGGGCTGGATAATAGCAGAATCTAGTAAAAGAGAAGCCTATAGAAAACTTATTTTGTCTCAGTGTTCTAAATTACGTGTTTCTTCTCACTTCCACAGTTTAGCCCCAGCCAGCAACTAAGCCCTACAAAGCTGCTCACTGACTCCCTCCGCAGCGGAATGGGGGAGAAAACCAGACTGGCAAATTGTAGAAACTGTAGAAAATTTGTGGGTTCAGGAAAGACAGTTTAATAGGGACAGCAAAAGCCCTGCACACAAGCAAAGCAAAACAAGGAATTCGTTTCCACTTCCCATGGGCAGGCAGGTGTTCGGCCATCCCCAGGAAAGCTGGGCTCCATCACATGTAGTGGTGACTCGGGAAGACAAAATTACATTATTCCTAACGCCTCCCCCTCTCCCTTCATCTTCCCCCAACTTTATATGCTGAGCCTGATGCCATATGGTCTGGAATATCCCTCTGGTCAGTTGGGATCAGCTGTCCTGGCTGTGACCTCTCCCATCTCTTTTGGCACCCTCAGCCCCCTTGTTGTGAGGAGCAGAAAAGGCCTTTGTGCTGTGCAAGCCCTGCTTAGCAATAACTAAAACTTCACTACGTTATTATCAGCACTGCTTTCAGCAAAAATCCAAATTATAGCCCCATACTGTAATTTTCTCACTGTGAGGAAAATTAACTCTATCCCAGCCAAAACCAGCACACTTACCATAAAGCAAAACTCCCGAGGAGAAGAAGAGGGACAAAAATCCTGTCACTTGCAAAATAACACTAATTGTTCCATGCAAGCCATGAAGATGATGTGACAGCTACATAGAGAGAATTTTTTCAGCTGGAATGAGTAATCTGATGACAGGTTTGCAGCTTCTCCACCCACAAACCATAATCATGCAAATGTAGGCACAGGCCTGATCACTGAGCTGTAAGGCACACAAAAGGTATTATTACAGCATGATAGCACCTATTAAAGCATAACACAGCATTCTAAAGACACCACAATCTCAAGCAGTGCAGACATGAAACAAAACTGCAGCATCAGTGTTCTCAATTTCAAAATCTAAATACAGAGAAGATGCACTAGAAGCAGCCCCATTAGTAAACCTATTTTTCTTGCCACCCTGCCTGGCAACAGGGTATTTCTCCCTCTAAAAACGCCACTTTGTGTATGCTGCCTGACAGCATCAACAGATACGCTGCATCAAATGAACGACTTCAAATCCAGCCTCACTTTGCTTAAGAATGCTTAAGTAATGTGACTGTTCCCAAAAACAGGCCAAGGTCTTACCACCTCATCAGTGACTTCTCCCTGCTCCTCACTTGCATTCTTAGCTTTCAATTAGCCTTCCCTTTAAGCAGGGTAGGATATACAATTCACAAGTGACAAAGTTGGCAGTTTAATAACCTTGCAGAGCAACAGATCCTTTCCAACAGCTTTGAAGCAAAGGGAATTCTGTATTTGGATCACCAGGCTCCTCCTGCCACAGCAGTGTACCAAATTTAAATACCTCTCCCGCAGATGGTTACAGCAAACAGTTGATTTCAGCAATATCAAGCTCTCCATCCTGCTGTCCTGCATGTAAGCAAAATCAACTCTTGTTCATGGCAAACTGAGGTTCAGTGCTTTAGGAACGACAATTTGCCACAGATTTCAAAGGCAACATAGGCACTGAATGGACACTTAACCAGATGTAGAAAACGGCCTTTTGTGTATTCTGTTTCCTTTATATTTGTGTAGCAGTGAGGCAGTTACTGCAAAGTCCGTGAAATGTGAAACACAATATAGCTATGTACTCATTTAGTAACAATTTAATTTCTTACTGCAGCTGAACAAAAAATAGCTGTTGATTTGTTATTTATAGTTATGTTATACATGTTATTTATGCAGATTTGTTATTTACACTCATTTTTAATATATTCTAATAGCTTCTCATCTTAACCTTGCTGCTCTTCTGAGATTGAGTATTCCCAGTTTTTGTGGAAGCTTTCCACAGGACACAGTTTACAGTTCAAGACACACACTCATGGACCATGAATCACATTCACACTCCAAGAGGCATAATACCATCAGAAACAGTTGTCCAAATGAACTCTGCAGCAGTGTTCCAGTAATGTACTGCATAATCCTGCCCTTTCCCAAAGGGAAATTTGATATTTTACATGGAGGCAGAGGAAGCAAGCAGCAGTGCTACTATGAAATGCACACTTTAGGAGGATCAGCCATTCCTCTCACTTTAAGCAACAAAGGCTCCTCAAGAGACTCAAAAGCATATCAGGTCTTAACAATGGAAATGTAACTAGAAATAAAAATCAAATTACTTTTTTTTCTCCACCTTTAAGCAGGAGCACCTCAGTGCAGATGGACTGCCCCAGACTACATACTGTCTGTCAGGTATCTGCAAAGCTACAAACTAGTTTGTTTCTTTTCACTGCCCTCATTGTTTTATAACCTCTTTGTCACCTCTCTCAGAGCTGGTTTTAGAAGCAAAGCACTACACAAAAAGCTACTGGCTGAAAAAAACCCTGATAATTTCTCTGAAGTCTCCTTAAATATAAATGTTAGTTCTGCTCCCAAATTCTCTATCAACCTAACCCATATTTGTACATATAAAGTCCCAACAGCTAATGAACATTAGCTGACTCCATTTGGTCCTGTCACACCATCCATTCCTTTAACGCACTTCTAACTCTTCCAGGCATGCCCTTTCGCACACACTGCTGCCTCTTCCAGGTGTGGACTCCTCACTTCAGCCTCTCTACAGAAGTGATCTCTATCCTAGGTGTTCAGCACTTCATTGTCCTATTTCACATCTCACCTCGAAGACAGACCATTTCCTATTCCTTTTTCTATTCTGAAATCGTTTTCTCCCATCTTCTAACAGAGGCTGATATCACTCCCTTTGCAGCTTGCATACTTTCTCCAATAATGAAAGGAAAGAAAACAAAGATTTAGGGTAATGACAAAGGGGTGGGAAGAAGAATGCTTAATTCAAAGATATAATTAAAAATGTGTCTGATTGTACAAGACTTTGACCAATTCTACAAATACAGACACTTGGGAGACGTTGCCTTATTTTCTCATCGTTGGCTGCTGCATATTTGAAGTCAAATGCTTCACATTACAAGGACAGCAACCAACCTTTCCCCTCTGATGGCAAATCACTGCTTGCTGGAATATCTGGTTACTCCTAGTCTGTCACATCTAAAATCTCTTATCTCAGGCAACAAGAATTTCAAGGATGTTGCTCCTTGCCCTGAGCACCACGGAGTATTTGCATTAGTGTGTTGAGCCATATAAAAACAGACAACTGTTTTGAAAGAAACTTTGCACTCTAGGTCTCCAGGGACAAACTGCATAAGTACACACAAAACAAAACACATTAAATGCTATTTTTAGTACTAGACTTTCAGGAAGTGAAAGTATAAGGCAGATACTGCTTTGTAAGAGCTCACAAAGGAAAATGCCAAAGCAAAGGGATGGAGGTAAGTATCTTCAGTCTACTACTCCTTTTCTAGACTATTACCATTACTGAAGAATACGTGTGTGTGTCTTTATTAATTCCACTGTACTAGGAAACACCACAGATGCCAGTGTCTTCATAAAATGTGCTTTGATTAGAACTGAGTTAAATTGGGTGTGTTCTTAATATTTATTTCTCTTGCCTAGCCACTATTTGTCACTATGAGGATGATGGAAAGAAGTTAAATGCTGACCAGAACCAAGAAGTTTCACGTCCTGTTCTCCCCCTCACAGGTTGCATCTTCTATAAATAAATATATAAATACAGCACTGGCACTTGACCATTAGAAGTCAGCAACATCAGCTACAGCCTGCAGCAATGCTGATCCATCATGTATTTTGTGGTAATTGGGTAATTAAATTATTCCCATACATCATTTAATCACAGATGAAATAAGCCTACTTTTCTGGATAGATCAGTGAAGTCACAAAATTTTGTAACTTCTGGCTTCATAATCACATAGCTGTAGGTTCAAAATAATGTTTTCAGAAGAGAGTGTGTAGAACACTGTTGGCAACCCAAATTAGGCAAGGAAAAACTAAAAATGTAACTGACAAAGATGTTCTCTCAACTCATGCCATATTGTTTCCATTGACCCACAGAGTATTTTCAAGTGCAGAAGTTCTGGGTTAGTTTTGTACAATGAGCTGGACTTAAGAGAAATCAGAGAATAAAAATTTAAACATTAATGTGGATGCCTCCAAATATCTGTAAAACCAAATGAAATATCCAGGTGTGAGGTCTGTGCATATTATTTGAGGACTGTGTGTCTCAGTTTCATTCATTCATGCATTCTTGAATGAATGCATGCTCAATCTGATGTTTCAAAATGAGAGTCACAGTTTGCCTTCAAAAAAGTTCTGTTAGTGTGGGGTAAGAGTAATCATTCAAACTGCTTGAGCTGTAGCTGGATTCATCAGATGACCCTTAACAAGGTCAATGAACCACAGCATTAAAATGTGCATAGAGGACTTAAGAATAGACAACTACAGAATTAGTATGACTTCAGAGTAATTTTTTAATCCCAATTAAAAGTGCATCATAAATAGCTTTTGACTAAGCAGATATTCAGAAATTTTACAACAAAGGTAAGGACTCCAATACCAAAACTTAGGAAGAAATACTTTATTTTCTTAGCTACTGTTCAGAAAGCCCTGAGGAAACTGATCCCCAAATCCCTAAGAGGGTCTGCAGCAAAGAAGCTGGAAAAGCACTCTGTGCAGACAGCTCCCGGTAGTACTTGGTAAGAAAGCGAGGCACAACATACCCAGAAAGCTTGCTCAGGTCACACCTTCTCAACACCACGTGATTTCCATGTATTCTTCCCTTTTGGCAGCAACTACAAAGAGAGACACACGGTTCTCCCTGGCAAGTATCCTGCTATTGGACAGGTAACAGGTTTTGCTAGCAAGTTAAGGTCAGATACCTGTTGTTCATCAGAAGTCACAAAAACACTGTTTCACTGCTGGAAAAATGGGAACAGCATTACTAGTAAGGCTTCAAACAGAGCAGCCATAAACCCTCTCAGTCACTCAGCATACAAAGTTACACATGAATAAAGCTTTTTTTTTTTTTTAACAAAGAACAAGCTCAACAGACTTCAATTCAAATACACTTACAATAAGTAAACATTTCAGAAATCAAAATTGGAGGGAGCAGACTGAAACACCCAGACATTCTTGCTTTACTCTCCACCCTCCTAAAGAAAGAATGGTTACTTCTGATAGCAGTTTCATCAATGCAGAAGACTCCCACAGACTAAAAGCTTTTGTCTCAGTTAGGTATTAGCTATATAGTAAAGTACATTCAAGAAGTCCTTGTATCAATTTGGCATTTTTTCAAGTACCTGACAGCTAATCCTTTTACAGATAACAGCCCCTTTTGGCCTGCAGTGTTAAATCAAAATGCATCTCAGTCAGTATACAAACTGAGAATCTTATTTAGATGAAGTCTACTGGCTGTCTCAGGCATTGACGTTAACTTCTCTAAAACGAACACATTATGAAAGACTTATTCTCTATTTAGCAGTATCACATCTCCTACTGATAGATTTGAGTTGTGTTACTGATAATTTAGATGACATACACCTATGAAATTTTAGAAGAATAAAATCTGAATAATACACACTATCTGGAAAAATATCACAGATGAAAATAGAAATAAGGAATAGGGAAAAAGAGCAAAAGACTTTAATGCATTTAATTGTTTTGTGCAGGTAATATTTTTACAGACTATAGCCAATCAATGAAGAAATAAAATAAAAGTGTTTCAGTCTTTTTCACTCCTTTTTTTCCAAGACACTTGATTTGTACTTTGAGCTTAAGTAGTAGTTAGGTAGTTAATCCACTGATAGACAACCTAAGCAGAAAATAATTTTTTAGTTGTACCACTAAATCATTAATATCATTAGTGGTACAGGAATTCAGTGCTGTACCAGTAATAAGATTTTCCTGGTTATTTGTAGAGGTAAATTTGTAATCCAGCTAACTGGACTGCAACAGTAGAAAAATCAAACTATCCCCAAGCTGTGTTCAGGAAATGTTGCACGTAACATCTTCAGATTACATTAGCATTTCATTTCATTCCTAGTATTGCAATAATGGGCAAAACTATCTCTAAAAGGAAATGTGCATTAAAAAAAAAGATTGTTAACACTTTATGACTAAACAAAATAAATGACAAGTAGGTGCCTAGAAGTGAGATTCAAAACTATAACCAGAGCTTATTTTCAATAGAAAGGTTTGAGTGCCGATTGTTTTGGGTTGGAATAAACTGATAGTTCACTTGGTATCTCAAGTTATGGACTTCTCTTCCTTATAAAGTGAATAAATCCCCAAAAGTCCTTACTTAACAGAAATAGCTGGAACATTACAATCTACTCAAGAGCAACAGAACATTTATAGCTGTACTGTAAAAGCTGGTTCAACAAAGTTGTGACAGTGAAATTTGATTTGATAAAGTCTCATTGCAGCAGACAAAAATGAAGCTTGTAATTGGTTTGCTTGCAGAAAAAGAATATTCAATTCACTAGAGTGCATATAACAAAACCAAACATGCAATCTATTAGTTTTAAAACTTTTACTGCAACATAGAGAGAACAGTAATTAGATATTTATATTTTTTCCCAAAAAGAAAATATGTAAACAGGATAATAATTTTATCTGTATGTATACAGCTTCTCAGATCATTTGAGAGGGACAAAGAAGGGGGCAGAGTTTCTCAGTAATCAAGACACTTTTTACTGAAATGGGTTTTCATTTGGGAAAAAAGCCAACACTGTTTTAACTCAGCATTAGACAAAAATACTGTGCTTCTTGCACTACTTTCAAACAGCTGAAAAGAGAACTCCAAATATCCTTATTTGGCATTCAGGATTATACATGCTCAGATCTTCTAAGATTTCACAAAGCTGCTCCCCAGTGTTGCCATGAAATACAGACTGCAGGATCTACGTAGCACAATCTACTTCCAATACCAGTGCTAAGTGGAAATGAACATGAAGCAGTGCATTACACTACATGTCTGGAACTAGTACAATAAGAGTGAAAAATCTAGAAAAAGTTAAGCTACAGTTTACAGAAGGAACTAATTATCTGCAGAAGCTGATTTTTGGTTTGGTTTTTATTTTTACACTGTGCGATTTTCTGCATCTGCTAATTTAAAGCAGACATACTTGTTGCTTCCTTTGCTTTGTTTCCTATGTTCTCCCTTCCACCCACCCCCTATTACCATTACACCAAGCATTATGAATATAAGCCCAAGTATCCCAGACAATCCAGTGAACAAAGTTAGTGTAATGCACTGGTGTGAGGTGTGAAATAGAAATAAGTTCTCTCAATCCTCGTCGAAGTTCTGTTGTAGAAGAAAGTTGGCAGCCAAGTTTTCGTTCTTCTCACAAGCAAAATATGCCTGTATCACAAGTCCTTCAGGGAACCCTAATGCCTTTAACTGAAGAAAAGAAACACATTTAGAAAGTACATTTTTTTATATTAAGCTTCTTTGTATGTTTAGTTGTCTTGAGGTGTCATTCAAGCAATTACTGCCTTCTTGAAAACTACATTGCTACCTAGGCCAATGCAGCCTCTAGTGAGCAAAAATAAGGTGTTGCCTCTGCCTTGAATAAACAGAATTCTCACTTGAAAAAATGATGAGTGAGTCTAATGAAGGACCATAAGACATGACACTTCTTTAGTGACATAGTAAGTCACTAAAACAGACCTGGGTCACAGTAATGTCAGGAAGTAAAAGCACATGGCACTGATGCAGAAAAAGCTTCCAGGCTGGGATCTCTAGTAGACAGTTCAAGACATCACATTAAGCCATACTTTCAGTTGTTTATACTGGATTTTCACATTTTAAAAAAATATTGACTATACACTACAGCCAACAGAAATAAGTTGAGAGCAATCTGTTTTTCAGAAGCCAAGTAACTAATTAATGTCTGGGACACAGTGACAGCAGGGCATGAGAACACCAGGGCAGAAGTTATTACTGTGCCAAGGGGAATGGGTTTAGCCTGCACTTAAAGGCAGTCAGCAAATGAAACCTTATTTTAGCCAAAGGCAAGTACATGCAACTATCTGAAGATTTTTCTTAAAATCCTTATACCACCTGCATTTCACATATAGGGCAGACCAAAAACTGTGAGAAACTGTATCCTATTATCCCTCGCCAACCATTCTTAGATTTTATTTCTGCCACAAACAGCATGACTGCATCAGCTGCAATACTAGGTTCCTAAAATTCTGAGGTGTGTTTCACAGTAAGTGGAAGAAGTGTATAGGTCTCTGCTGGGTTTTGTCCTAAGAAAAAGATCTCAGTGGTGTTGCCATCTATATAAAGCCATATTTAATCAGTGTTACACACAGTAGTTATGATGCAATATACCATCCCCAAGTGCATTTTTATAGACATGTTTACCTGTTGTTTTTAGAAAGCTATAATTAAATAATTCCCATGGACAGACAAATACATGAGTGAAGTTTTGACTTGAACTAATCTACCTATCTATGAGCCTTCTTACTATCCAAGCACTTTGAAAACAGTGCTCATGCAGACAGATCTTTGCACCTGGACACCTATCACAGCATGATCTAGAACACCAATGGCTGAGGCTTTTGCAAAAGGAATTACTGCCTGAGTTCCCGTTCCTGAGGGAAAACCATTCAGTCATTAATTACCACAAAGAGTCTCTGATCACTTAAAAGGCTCTGCATCTTCCCAGTAAGGCAGATTTAAGACATTTTAGACTTAATTGCTATAAAGCAGGAAGAGATGTAGTTTGAAACAGGACTACAACAGCTATGAAATACCAAGTATAAAAATACCAAATATGAAGCAGAACTGCTCAGTATAAGCAAAGTTTAAGTTATGTCTTAAGCATGCACTGGAGTCAACACCCTACACCAACAGCCAAGAAACACTTCAAAGAAGAAAGGCTCACCCTTTCTATAGCTTCTTTTTCCTGTGGTGTTACTTGAATGTAGTTCATATGACCATTTCCAGCATCTGCTACTTCTCCAGTGCTGGCACCATCATCACTCCCACTTAAGCCTTGGCGAGACTCTAGAACTGGCTCGTTCAGCATATGAATAAAGTGTTCCTGGTGCTGGCTTATTTGCTGTGATGCATGGAACAATAAAAGAAAACACATATATTTAAATAACTCATGTTTAAGCCTGCCAACAGACAAGTAAAAATGTTTTCAGGGAAGCAAGTAGTCAAAGGAATGTGTAAAAAGTGCATCGAGAAAAATCATTACATCTAACCATAAGAAACACAATTTCATGTTTCAGTTCAACTGCAGTGATCATTTCCTCCTCCTGACCCCCAGTGCACCCTCTTAGTAAAAGTCTCAGACTCATTTCTGTCATAGAAAATGTGTTCTGTACAGCAACAACTGCTGAAAAGCCAACAACAAGATGTTGTAACTGCCAGTAACACATTATCCCAGGTAACATCAACATATGCCTCTCTTGTAAAGCTAAATCAGAATTAGCAAGCATTATTTTCTTCTTTTTAGTTTCACCTGCAGTAGTTGAGGGTTTTCCCGTCCAATCTGCTGCAGCAATGCCGGTAGCAGAGAAGGATTTTGCTGGATAATTTGTCTCATCTGCTGGAACTGAGGCTGATTTCGTAAAAACTCAAGGGGATGTCCTGAAAAATCAAAAGAGGTAACATGTTTTTTTATGAAGTTACTAAGAATCTTAATAAAATACATACCTGCACTGCAATTTTAGATAGAAATAGGACTTGAAAGTGGACAATACACTCCTCACTGAAGGACAGAAAAGCTTGCTTCCTCACACTGACTTACTCTAGTTTAAGCAAGAATTCTTTACACTAAGGTTAAACAATGCATTTTCTTTCCACCCAATTTTAAGATCCAACAGCCTTGTGTCTTTTACTTCCAGCATTTTTCTCTTTGTCTCATCTCTGAATAACCTCATTCAGAGACATCTACCCAGTCTACTGCCTTATCTCTGCATCTACAACAGAGCTCCCTATCTCCTGCAGTGGGTCAGTTCTGACTTAAGGGAGTCTTTCCTTCCCATACAACCTATATTATTTACTGCCTTGAACTGTGTCTGAACCACTCTGAAACATCCCATCCCCCGTTACCTCTTTATGAATTATGTCATGTGTGCCTCTCACTACAATCTGTATAGTTAACGCTCTGGCTTCTTATCAAAGCTTGTATCTTGAACTCCATCTCTGCCACAGCCTAAAACAGACCTTCCCTTCCCCTTCATAATGCTCCTTTCATGTATTTATCTCCCTTTAAGACAGAGTTCTCTTCAGCAGGCACCAACCACTGTCCATGTGCTGCGTGAGGAGTCCCAGGTCATTTACAAGTCTCGTAAAAGCTACACTTCATGACCTAATTGCAGGTTTCTCCCTTGATATTCCAGCTTCCAAGAGGTAGATACATAAGTATGTACTTATGTACAGCCATGGATGACAGCGCCCAGTTATCCACAGAGCAGAAAGCCAGAGTTTATGTGAGAAAACACAACCCCACCCACATTTGTGGACTTACACTTAAATTCAGAATACTGAATCAAAGGAGTTGTGTGAGTTCACTGCATTTTTTGAAACCTCACTGCAGATGTATCAACATATATCAAACTGCATGTTCCAAGGAAGTACCACACTTGGAATTTCCATGCTGCAGCTCTTACCCAGCTCCATTTGATCAGTTCACAAGCACCAGGAACTTAAAACTGACTGAAGAAGAGACTGATTAAGCGCAATGTTTTTATCACATCCTCTCAAACATAACCTTTCTTACCTCCTAATGAGCTAGTAGTCGTTGGTATAGTTGCTACTGCTGCTGCCACTGCTGAAGACTGAGAGGCACCACTGCTTGGTGTTTGAGGCGGTTCAGCCACAGCCTGATTATCTCCAGGTATACCCTAAAGCCACAGTTCACACAATTACCTACAGAATGCTACAAGATATTTATTTCAACCGCATGTAATATGTGCTTTCCAGAATGAAGGGGACAAAAAACCCTTTAATGCTTTCACTGCAAATACAAAGCAAGATGCTGTGATAGGTATGCATTTACAATTGAACAAAGAACACTGTGAAAAGAGCAATTTCATTTTTTGATGAGAAAAATGTGTGGTTTGTACAGCAAGGTAGTAAAGCATTCACTGCATGAGTTTAAAAACATGTTTTACTCCATAAAAAGTACTTGCTTTGAATTCTGCTCCAAGATATTTGATATGAGTGAAAAAGTTAACCTAAATATAGTTACGATATGTTATAGTGTTATGCAAAAGAAGTTACAACACAGCAACAGAATTGCAGTACACAATGCTAACTGAGATTATCAATGCCATACAATCTGGGAAGAAACTGCAAAGAGATGTAAGAACGCTGCTCCTGGGACCTCTTTCCCCAACGCAAAACCATCCTTTACTGTATCTTAAAGGTGAAAAGGTCTTTATGTCATCAAGTAAGGTAAAGGTAATGGCCAGTCTTCGCGAACGAACATTTTGGGAAAGGTCTTTTACTTTTCCAGCCTGCGCAATGGATTTTTTTAGGTGAGACACAGCCTGCGCTGAACTGAGCCCACCCTTTAATCCTAAGGTTCATCTGCCGGGGCCAAGCAAGCTTGGACAATGGCAGTGAGGTCCTCAGGACGCAGGTTTGTTTAGAGTGACCTTCTCATAGATGGATGGCCTCACAGGGCTAACGGGCTCCATCTGCCCGGGGGACCGAGGAATCGAACCTGGGTCGCAGCAGTGAGAGTCCTGCATGCTAACCACTAGGCCACCAGGGGTCCCATGTCATCAAGTGTTAGCAGTTAAAAAAAACCCAACAAAATTTTACTTGCTTTTTGTTTATATTCCATGTGCAAACAACTTTATATAGGAACTGATTGCTCAGGGGGATGAAATGGACAAAGTTAAAAAGAACAATCATAGTGAACTAGAATGTGGGTTATACAAGACACACCTTACCCTACTACCTTACTCCTGCATGGGAATCCTTCAGACTTCCTACCCTAACCTTGCCTTCCTCACTGTCACTGAACTCCTGCACCAAATTTGTCCTTTCAGTCTTCCTCCCCGAATCCTGGAAACTCAGACAGCTTGGCAAGGGAGAGACACCAAGAAAGAATCTTGTATGACAAGAAGCCCAGAGAAGTTACCCAAAAGGCGGCCATCCTTCAGTTTGGGAATCACAAAACATAAGGAATGGGGTAGATGGAAATATTACAAAACTTCAGTTTAACCATACAACAAAGAGGTTTGTCAAGTGATGCCTCAGAGCTTTTTTTTGATTTTTAAACTTTTATAGATTTTTAGAAGTAGATGTGTAGTGAATGTAGATTTTAATGTAGCTATATTATATCTCTTACCCTGTAGCATTATGCTATTACAACCCTACTACCCCATTTCATATCAATCCCTCTAAAACTCCATTAGTGTGTTTAGTCTTCTTTTCAAAGTAGAATTGTAGAAAAACACCCTAAGGCCTGGACCAGAAGATGTCACACAGACACAGCGACCTTCAAGCCCAGAACTTTGGAGGAACTTCAAGGACTGTGTGTGCTGTGAAGAAGACGAGGATGAGGAAGAAGGGGTCCCAAACGCCCCCAGACCCAATTCCCGAGGAGGCGTGTCAGGGGGTAGAACTGGGCAGAACTGAGGCTGGACAGATCTGGGATTGGATGGACCTTATTATAAAATCACAGAGCCACTGTCTGGGTGAGCGCACATGGTATGTATTCCCAGGGCCTTAGGCCTGAGATTACGGACCTGCTCTCTTTGTCTTATCTCATACACTAAATTGGCCTGGAGTCTTTTTTCTCCGCAGTCTTTCAGGCAACAGTCATGGCACTCTGAAAGGCGGAAAAGTGGGACCTGTGACTCCTCCGGATCAGGAAACATAATCCTGCAGGAAATTCTTCTTCTGCTGGCATATTTTGGAGAATTCCTGCACCAATCTTGAGAAGCCCAGCTCCTCAGAACCACACACACAGAGGTGAGATAAAAGAGCAGTTCCTTTGGGTAATTTTGCTAGAAGCTGCAAAGGGGTTTTTCCTGGAAACAGGGGAATATGGTAGGCTAGAAAGTGAGACTTTGGGCCCGTGTTGTTGCATAAATCGGTGTTTTTCCAGTCTGTGGGCGGAAGCCCAGGACAATTAAAGGGGAGTGGGTGGAGGACGCCCCCCTTGCAGCTTCAATAAAGGCAGGGCAGGGACAGTGGAGCCTACCACTGTGGTTACTCAGGGGCTTTGCATTGGCTTGGTACAGCCAGAAGGAAACGGATGCCTTTCTCTGCATTAAAATACCCTGTCCTGGCTTGAAGTTGGTGGTGGTGTTTGGAGAGGGAGGTTGCTGGGTAATCCTGAGGTCGCGAGTTCAAATCTGGTGCCAGGAAGCTTTTTCCTGCCTGGTAGTTGTCATCATGGGTTGTGTCGAGTCCTGAGAGGAGGACATCCCAAAAGGATCTCCTTTAGCCTTGGTTTTGCAGCACTGGAGGCATTTGACAGGCCCTGAAACATCTTTAAAGAGGCAGGAGTTATGCAAGCTCTCTATAATTATGTGGCCTTTGCACAGGCTGCTCGAAGGGGAGACTTGGCCGAAGTTTGGCTCTTTTCAAATGAATACAGTGTTACAGCTTATGTCGACCCTTCATAAGGAGGACCGATGGAACGAAGTAGTGTATGCTGAATTGTTTTTGGCCTTTTTAAACCATCCAGAATGGAAGAGAGAGTATAAGTTAAGATAAAGCCCCTGTAGAGGCAGAGCTCTCAGAAATGGTTTTAGAGAGAGGAGAGAGGAAAAATCGTGGTAAACGTGAGCCCATCAGTCAAATTTATGTTAAAAGCCTGACAGACGAGCATTTAGATCTTTTAATGGCCCCCAATTTGCAAGGGGGAAACCCGGGAGCCACTCCTGCTGGATCAGGTTCGGCCGGCACTGGGGGACCTGCCACAGGCGCAGTGGGCGCAGGTCCCACCGGAGCCGCGGGCACCACAGGACAGGCGGGGGCGGTTGCCAGCGCTGGTCAGGCGGCCACAGGGGTTGCAGGCGTGACTGTAGGTGCTGCCGCCGGCGTTGCCGTCAGCGTAGCGGGAGCAGGTCCAGCCGCGGGACCGCCAGGGGCTGGCACTAGCACGGGAGTCACCGCGGCGATTCCGGCAGCAGCGACAGGGATCACGGGAGCTATGGGACTGGCGGGGACAGCGCCTGCCACAGCAGCTACCGGAGCCATCGCCACGGGGGCGGCGGTGGGACCCACCGCTACGGGACAAACGGCCGCCTGCGCGACGGGAGCTGCCACAAGTCTGGCAGACGGGACGGCGGCAGCGGCGACCGGGGTCACGGCCGTGGGAGCTGCCATGGGTCTGACGGACGGAGCAGGGAGCGCGGCAGGTGCAGGCACAGACCGCCCCTCGGCTGCGACCGGCCCAGACATGGCTGCAGCCGGGGTCACTGCCCCAATCGACACCGGATCCTCTGGCTCCACCATTATGGGCGGAGCTGGAGCCGCCTCTTCCCCTTTAGCCCTCCCAATCCTTATGGTCCTTACCCTCCCCCAGGGTAAGCGGGGGGCGCGGTCATTCCCGACTGCCCCTCCCTTGGTATGCAGGGTTTCCCATTCCAGAAGAGGGGGGGCAGCCCCCGGGGGCGTTTCCAGCTTTTACCCCATATCAAGAGTGAACGGGCACACCAAAGAAAAGCAGATCGTTCTTGGCCTCCGACAGGAGGCAAAGGCAAGGTCTTCCTCCTCTTTGACCCCTCGAGCATGAAATTCGAAACTAGAGATCGTGATCTCACTGACACAGGTACAGAAGCCTCTGATGACGAATCAGTCAGTACCTCAGAGGAGGAAAAAGCTCCCGTAGTAAAACCATAAACAAAGGCGAAGGTTTCCTCGGCAACTACGAAGGGAAGTGGAGAAGGGTGTGTGAGGCTCTGTCGGATCCAAGCCCGATGGCTAGGAGAACGACAACAAGAAAGGAGAAAACTGTCACAGGGGCTCCCCTGAGACACGCCATGGGTTACCAAGGACCAGTTTTGATAAAAATTCCTTTTTCGCTGGTGGAGTTACAACAATGGAAGGGCTCAGGGGGGGTATATAGAGAAAACACAGAAAAAATGGCTAATTTTGTAGAAATAAGAACACAAAATCCGGACTGGTATGACCTGGAAGTCATGATGGAGAAGAAAATGAGTAAGTGAGCTGCCTGGTCTGGGATTGAGCTACTACTAGCATCTGAAAAACTCACAGGGGAACTTAAGGATATATTCCCCCCAGAGGACCCAAAGTGGGATCCCAATTCACCAGAAAAGAGGGAAGCATTGAAACACTATCAGGATTGAGTGGGGTATGGTTTAAGACATGGTATTCCAAAAGCAGTAAATTGGACAAAAATGTATGAGGTGAAGCAAGACAAGAATGAATCCCTGACAGACTTCTTGAATAGGCTGAAAGACATCCTACGAAAGTATACAGATGTGGACATCAATTCAAACCTTGGGAAAAAACATTTGATCTATTTGTTCAGGTTGATCTATTTGTTCATAGGTCAGTCTGTCGATGATATAAGGAAAAAGTTGCAAAAGGCAAGTGAGAAGAAAGAGATCAGTGAGATATTGGATATAGCATGGACAGTGTATTGGAATAGGGATCAGAAAGGCAAGGCAAAAGTGTTGGAGGTGGAGGCAGATGACTGCCACACACCCCACAAATGCAGTAACTGCCAGGAACACCGCAAGCACAATGCCCACTGCAAGTGTTGTAAATGCAACTGCCAGCATAATAAGGGGAATGATAGGTGTTCTTTCTGCAAAAAGAAAGGGCACTGGAGAAGGGATTGTCCAGATTTGAAGAGAAGTGGAAACCCAGTCCCTCAACTGGCTGTGGACCAGGATGGACAGGGTGTCTGAAG